ATGAAAATAAAAACATAACTACTCAATTAATGCAATTAAACAACCAATTAATCAAAAATGTAATTAAATACACAATTTAAACAATTAAATAGAAGAAATAATAAAACAAATAAACAATTTAGCAAATAATCAATTAATCACACAAAAATGCAATAAAACCATAATTAAAATGCCGAGACTATCCTTTTAAAATTAGGGATATTACAAAACCCAAGTGGGAGCAAACATTCTTTTTGCACTTACCTTAAGCAAAATAACCACAATTTCAAATTTCCTCTAAGGCACAAGGAGCTGCCGAAGAATAAAATTCATCTTCGGACCCAAGGGCGGAGGGAGTTAATGCTTGGGGGGGGGGGGGGGGCAAATTTTTTTTTTTTTTTTAATAGTATATGAATATTTTTTAAAAAGTCCAAAAATGCCCCTCCTGAATTTTTTTTTTTTTTTTGCCCTCGTATATTAGTAATACTTTACTGAATCAAGCCCATTTAAGTCATTCACCTACAAAGTACTACCAAATAAAGCCCTAACAAAGTACCAAATATAGCCTAATAAGATAAAACAAAAAGCAGAATAACAAGTACGGTGGAATCAAATAAAGTCCAAACAAAACTTCACTTTCTGACTTTCTAGTTTCTTTGCACAAAAGTGAGATACGAAAAGCAGAAGCTTGGACTCAAGAGTCACGCCATGGTTTTGCTGCTTATGCATATCATCATGCTCAGGTTTTAAATCTTCATCGTTTGCGACGGAATTGGAATTGGAATTAGAAGGAAGGATACCCAATTTGTTTTGTTGTTGATTCACCGTTTGATTTGCAGGTAAACCCGAAACCCTAGTGTTTTTTTTACATAAATTAGATTCACATCTATTTTAGTTTTTATCTTAATTGTTTGATGAATATGATAGATAAATTGAGTAAGTATAAGTTAGTTTTTTAATTTTGTTATGCAGCACAACCCTTTATTAATTTTTCAAATATTTTTCTATACTTTTACTCAAATCCATGGGATGCAATGTGCTTCTTCTCCTCCTACATAGGAGAGATTGAGGGCTCAAATTCCCAATGTGTCAATAGTGGGCATGCGCATGAGAATTGGTATGTGATACCAATATTCACACACATATATACACACACTTAAATGGAAATGAATGAGAGCAATTTTTGACATCCTATGTGAATTATATGACTCCTCTACCTTTTACATATCAAATTAAATATTTCTCTCTACATCTTTACATCAACAGTAAATCCTATTTTTGGTCAAAACTCTAAACGTAACATGTCAATACCCACAACCCTTGCTGTTCATTCAATGATTTTCCTGTATCGTAATTTGTTAAACTTGCAGAAGATTGTTATAGTGGTTGGGAGTTCTTTTTTTCTTCTATCAAATACACTATGCCCCCCCTGGAATGAAATCCTGACTCCGCCCCTGTTCGGACCTGAAGAGTCCGAGGATTTCAAAATGCATAAAGAGGCCACGAAAAAGACTACATCTCCGCTGTCAAGGCATACTGTCCCAATTGTTAACTATCTTTTGGTTTACTACAGTTACCATTAGAATTCATTAGCTATGATTAATTCCATCTAGTTATGACTGCCACGTCAAACTAAAGGGAATTGGGGGCAAAGTGTGGGGGCAAAAATCTCCCCTTCTAATTAAGACAAGACACATCAGCACATAAGGGGACCACCACAAATACTGAGACTATTCAACCTTCAAATTGGGCCTCTACAAAAAGCTTGGGCCGGGTTAACTAAGCAAAATGGGCTGAACTCATTAAGAAGGCCCGAGATGATAAGACCCCAAGCCCAATTACGAATATATTACTAAACCCATTTTAGTAACAGTTCTATTAGAAGAAGAATTATAATTTATGAAAACGAAATAATGTAAATCCTTGTTATAAGGATAGTATGATATAATTCAAATTCTTAAGGGACAAACAATGCGAGTCCTAAAAAGAATCGATTATGGTTTTTTCTATATAAAAAAGGGTTATGACCCTCAATAGGGGACAGACAGAAAAGAGGGCAAAGCCCCTAAATAGAGATCCAATTCTCATCATCAGAACTACGTTCCGACCTGATTCCCACGCTCCATGAAGCGGGATACGTAGGCAATCTAGGTAATCCTAGGTTCGGTCATATCATCAAAATACCCCCTCATCTCTATACAATGTCTCTAATTTTTGCACTTATAATATGCATATTGTTCCAACAACTATTAATCTGTGCTTTTATAACCATGAATACCGGAAAAAAAATAAATAAAAAAATAAATAAAAAATAAAAAATGGTCATTAATAAGAAATTGTGAATGAATTCAATATTTTTGCCCAAAATTCCTTGTATCTTAGTTTTTTCCATTTCCCACTTGTCCGACTATTGCTGAGCAGTTTTTGAATATTAAACAGACCTCCCCAAAAGGTAATTTTAATGTGGCCGATTTCCCCTCTTTGCAATCATTTTCGCTCCAGTATCCGCTGCTCTAGCTAATTACCTAGGTTCGGTCATATCATCAAAATACCCCTTCATCTCTGTACAATGTCTCTAATTTTTGCACTTATAATATGCATATTGCTCCAACAACTATTAATCTGTGCTTTTATAACCATGAATACCGGAAAAAAAAATTGTCATTAATAAGAATTTGTGAATGAATTCAATATTTTTGCCCAAACCTCCTTGTATCTTTGTTTTTTCCATCTCCTAACCCCCTACAAACGACGAATGTATAAAAAGGCCTTTAACTGTGTTACGTTTGAGAAGGTTTAAAATTAACAATTGTTGAAAAATCGAATGCAAAATGAAAATATAGAAAAATTAAACATGGTTTTCATGACTTAAAACCCGAAGAAATTAAAACATGTATTCCCTCATACTTGATATGATCATTTGATTTATATTGACTTGATTTTTTCATCTATGAAAATCAAATCAATAACAATATAAAAAGAACATGAATCCTCTCTATTATGGGAGAGGGTCCTGTACACCAGCAACATTTATTACATGACTAGGTGGCAAATGTCAAGAATTCTATGTAGTTCGTTTTTCTAAAATATATATATATATATATAAATCACTTCAAGTTTAGCTTTGTTTGGCAAGAAATCTAAGAGTTCATTGTTATTGTTATTGTTATTAAAAAAAATAAAAAATAAAAAATAATAAAAAAAAAAAAAGGGGGTAAGGATCATATGCTAAATTCACAAAATTGGTCACTTCACTACAATGACAATAACAACACTCACTATGTTGAATGACAACTCCCTACTTTTATATATGTGAGCATCCCCCTTGAGAGATGCGACCTCTCAGCCATAAACTACTGACCGACTTTTCTGCCACGCCCTCTCCAGCGGTTTTTTAAGCTCCCAGTCTGTGCACATTACCAAAGATAAGTGTGGTTTTAAGGTTTAAAAAATCATAATTTTTTTTATTTAACAAACCCAATTTAGGCATTTTTTGGTTCTTGTTCTTAAAAATTTCACCCTATAAGATGAGATTATCCACAATTGGTTGGTCTAGTATTTGTGGGTTTAAAGTGGAAAAGAAAATAAAAGAATTAAAAAAAAAAAGAAGAAAAAGCAAGATGTGTGAGCTTTACAATCATACGTCATGATTTAAGAATGTGATTTATGGACAGAAGATTTCTTCATATATAAAACATATATATATATATATATATATATATATATATATATATATATATATTCCGGTTGTTGTTTTGATTGACAATGCAATTGCCCCATGCTTTGCTGACTGAAAATTTCCTATCTTCTTATCCACCTAATTCAGCACTTGGAATTTGTGGTTTGAAAAATAAGCATCTGAATTTGTGACTTAGCAAAATTAAAAATGGTATCAACGTATAATTCTTTCTAAGTTATTACTATATAGTATATGATGACCCACATATTATGCTAAACAAAGATTTGTGTCCAATCCCAAAAGTGGACTTGGTCAGAATCGGATGATAAGTTGGTTAGACTAGTCAACCAAACACACACACACACACTCCCATTCATAAATGGTGAAACCAAATGTCAAGAAATTGTGATATAGAGCTGGTGTGCAAACGATCGCATTCTTATTATCAATAATTGATACTTTCAGGGACTTTGGATTATGTTTTTCTATTTGATCTGAATGAGTTTGGGGTTAAATAGTGGGTTATTTAAAAATACTAGGTTCTATGAATAGTTTGAATTTAAAATATTAAAAAAAAAATGTTTTCTTACAAGAACAATAAAAAAAGTACTTTATGACGTGGCTTCCCAAAAGCTCGTAAATAATCTCAATTTGGAGATTTTTTATGCTTTACTTTTTGAAGTCAACATTTAAAAATATGACTTGTATATTTTCTTCTTCTATAAAATGTTCCATTTTTTACTGTTATTTTTTTATATATATGTGTGTCACAGTTTGAAGCTTCAACGTCTTTAAATTCAAGGCCACCAAACTTTTTTATTTTTATTTTTATTTTTTTAAAAGGTTTTACACATGGATATCAACCAAACTTTGAACAAACGCAATTTATTGAAAATTGATTTAAATTAAAGAAAACTATATATAGATATATATCACTTATTTAAAAATTGGGTTTGTAATACTAGAATCAAACACCACATAATTATGCAATGTTATTGATTGTTGAGTGTTCATAATTTCATATTCATAATTTTATGCTCAATTTTAAAAAAGATACATACTTACACATGCAACATTAATCAATGATATAAAATGAGCTGGAATGGGCTTCACAATACAAAACCTGACCTGCCATAAATTTGGGCTGGACTACATCTTCATGGATCTCAAAACAGTCCCTTGAATAGTGACACAAGTCATATGGGCCTCCACTTACATAAGCTGGCAAGCCTGCAGAAAAATAAGACAACACTTCACCTTGCAATCACCGTCACTTGTACATAGTTTGACATTCGTTCATTCATTTTTATAGGAATTTCAAGCATTGCTAATTTTCTCTACCATGGGAGCTCAGGGTGACAAAAACAATCTCCTGCCCCAGATTTATGTTCTCCTCGTCACTGTCGCAGCTGCAGCCCTCATTTTCGCTATCTACCACTTGGTTGCCGCTACTTGCTGCCGTCGACGCCTTGGGCAGCCCCCACAACATAGGCCCATAATCGTGTTCAGACCGAGAGAGTTTCCAAGCAGCATTGAGAGTTCAATGGCCCAGCTCATCCCGGCCCACAAGTATCAAAAGGGTACCGGCCCAGTGGGAGAAGATTGTACCTGCCCAGTTTGCTTGTGTGAATTTGAGGATGGTGATGAAGTACGTACCTTGCAGGAGTGCATGCATTCGTACCATGTGCCTTGCATCGATATGTGGCTCTATTCGCATTCTAGTTGTCCAATGTGCCGTTCCGACGCTACATCTTCGCCATTTATATTTTGACATTTATCGAATTTTCAATCAAAAAATACCTGATTATATGTACAGTATCAAGTAGCTACATATATGAAATGAATAATTCAAATGTTCAAATTTTTTTTTTTTTTTTTTGGTTTGGTAAATATTCACACACATTCATAAAATGTGGAACATCGCCTCCTCTTTGTGATTCTAGTTGTTTTCTTCCTTTAGCACAGATTATGGGCCGAGTAGAAACCCCTTCATTGTATTGGATTTGGTTCTTATTAGCAGGCCCACCCTTTAAATGGACCCATCTGGGCCTGGCATAAATCTTTGGACTAGTCTGGTTATATTGCTGGATGGACATGCCCATTTAGCATAAGGAGAAAATGGTTGCAGTACTTGAACTGTTGAACATGTTGCTCTTTTTTTGATAAAGGCTAACTTCTAATTTCATATTTAATTAACATGGTTTTTTTTTTTTTTTTTTTTTTACATACTTGAATATTATAAATGTGTTGAGTAACTCTAATTTGTTTCTTTAATCATATTTAGTTATGCTGCTAGCTTCTGTTGACCCATCACTATTACTTCAGTACGTGTCAAAACACACACACACACATCAGTCCTCAATCCTCAGCTACAGCCTACACCAATTACCATTAAGAAGGACTAATGAGTTTTAACGTAACCGATTATGGGCCGAGTAGAAACCCCTTCATTGTAAAAAAAAAATGAATGTCATACAAAATTAAAAGTTATTAAACGAGTGTAAGATTAACTTATTTTAATAACAAATAAAACAAATTCTTTTATTAGGGGGTGCGTGTGTATAACAAATAGAGATATTGGGTATGTCAATTCATTCGAGTCGTACGTACAAAATGCATATACATATACGTGTATAACACGTTACACTTAACACCTTCTCGTATATAACCAAAACAAAATACTTAATAAAAATATTGGGTGTGTCGGCTCATTCGAGTCGTACGTACAAAACACGCGTTTACGCGTGTATAACACGTATGACTCGAATGAGCTCAGTATTCGATGCACTGAATACACTTATAATACACTTATATATGGCGTGATTAACATTTGTTCCAACTTGATCATGAAAAAAGAAAAAAAAAAAAAAGCAGCATGTGAGATACTTACGCGCGGTTCTCACACAGCCACACTCAAACTATTGGTTATCATATATCACACTGTCAAAACATTTTTACTACGGCCCTTAGGTCAGCTTTTGAAATCTATTGCACTGCGACAAATATCCAACCATGGGAATTATATTATGAATTTTTTACTTTATCCTAACAAGATACTTACGCATTTACATATTTTTATGAGATTGCGAACTAACGCTCTATTAAGCGGAGTTACAACTTTTGGTAAAAGCTGCTGTGATACACTATTGTAATGAATAATAATTAGTTAATATTCATATTTTGGTCGGACGTTTTTTTTCGTTTTTTTTTTTTCGAAGTGTTTTTGGTTGGATTATTTCCTACCTTTCAAATGAAGTTGGGCTATGACTAACCTAAAAATATAATAGTCTCAATCACAGAGCTAATTTGTTTTTTTTTTTTTTTTTTTTCTTTTCCATTTAATTTCTCCATTGTTTAAGAGTAGTGTTCATGTATAGAGTAGAAAGGAACGGAGGATTTTGGAATATTAGAGAATTTTCATAAATTAATAAATTGAGGAAGATTCTATTATAAGAATAGAGTTTTTTTTTTTTTTTTTAAGAGTTTATTCGTCTATTAGGAAAGATATGGTATATATACAGTTAAGTATCTATCTTTAACAATAGCTTTCATTGTAACACCATAATAAGAATGAGTATAAATAGAAACTCCAATACAAAAATGAGAGAGAAATACACTCGCTCGCTGTCAACGATTACTTACTAAGTTGAGCAACATGTCAGCCTTTCTTAAAACAATTTTCATTAAAAGAAATGAAAAATACTCGAAAGATTTACAATACCCTCGTAAATATTACGATTGAACTTCTTCTGAGTTGTTGGTTTTACAACGATAATGGATTTATCAGTCACCCTCCTGTTCTTCACCAGTTCTTCACCAGCCCATTTGAGGATTAGCAGAAAACATCCCTATGTTATTTACATAGTTTGAAATGGATTACTCTATATTCAAATTCATATTTTAATTTAATATTCAAATACCAACTCAAATTTGATTCTAAAGATATATTACACATCAAATCATAATAATTCAGAAAGATTCAGATTGAATTTCAAAAAGTGTAACATAGTAATATTTTCTCACAGTCCAACATAAAAGGTTAAAAATTTAAGTATTGTAAAAACAAGAGTGGATGTGTAATTTTTTGCCAAGTAAAAATATAAAATAAAATATCTTTAATTTCGTTTGATTCACATGTATCTAAGAATCACCCAAGTCCATATTCAAACCAATTTTGAAGCTGATTTTAGATATGCATCCAACATGTTTTTGATGGATTTGAAATTAAAATTCAAAGCCGTTAAAATGAACTTTTGATTGAATCCGATTTCGAGTCAAACCTGTTTCATTTCTAGCCTTATATAAATACTACTACGTACTTATTTTTATTATTTTGTACAAAGTGAGTGCAAAAATTAAATTATTTTCAAATTTGAACCCACAATTTCAAAATCTTTTAAATCTCAACCAAAAATGTTATCACACTCCATCAGGTTTGGTGATGAGATACGTACCTTGCCAGAGTGCATGCATTCGTACCACATGCCTTGCATCGATATGTGACTCTACTCGCATTCTAGTTGTCTGATGTACCGTTCCGATCCTACACCTTCGCCATTCATATTCCAGCATTTATCTGATTATTGATCAGAAAATACCTGATTATATGTACAGTATCAAGTAGCTACATATATGAAATGTATAATTCAAATGTTTTTTTTGTTTTTTTTTAGTTTGGTAAATATTCACACACATTCATAAAATGTGGAACATCGCCTCCTCTTTGCGAGCCTAATGGTTCATTGTATTGGATTTGGTCCATATTAGTAGACCCACCCTTTAAATGGACCCATCTGGGCCTAGAATAATCTTTGGACTAGTCCGGTTAAATTGCTGGATGGACATGCCCATTTAGCATAAGGAGAAAATGGTTGCAGTACTTGAACTGTTGAACATGTTGCTCTTTTTTTATCAAGGCTAACTTCTAATTTCATATTTAATTAACATTTTTTTTTTTTTAACATACTTGAATAATATAAATGTGTCAAGTAAAAATTTGGTTATTTCTTTATTCAAATCAGTGAATCATGCATTTTTATTGTGTTTTACATCGGTGTCAAAAATCAAAATTATGCCATATAAGTACTATTATAATAAATAAACTCATACTTTTCTAAATAAAATATTGAAATTTTAATTTTAATTAAAAACATGATATTCATGAGGCAATTCGAAATTTTTCATTAATTTGGTTTTTGGATTCCATAATAAACATGAAAACAATTAAACCCCACCATTGTAATAATAATAAAAAAAATGAATGTCATACAAATTTAAAATTTATTAAACCGGGGCACGTGCGTTAGTCTGCGTAACGAGATATTGAGTTTGTCGATTGATTCGAGTTGTACGTGTAGCTCTACACTGATATAAGATGTATTTGGTACACCAATACCTTTTGGTATATAACCAAGACAAATACTTAATCTGTATGGGACAAAAATAACATGTATTAAGATCTCCCATATATATATATACATATATATATATATATATATTTGTTCCAACTTGATCATGGACAGGGGGAAAAAAAAAATGCATTTGAGATGCTTACGCATGTGACAGTTCTCACACAGCCACACTCAAACTATTGGTGTTGACAACACAAACACACACACAGAATTACCATTAAAAAGGACTAGTGAGTTTTAAGGCAGCAAATTGGATATAGGTAGACACAAAAATTAAACCAAACAGAAAACAAACAAGAGGCTAAAAATAAATAAATAAATAAACCAGAATCAACGTAGCATAAGCATTAAAACAGAACAGGAACAATGAATCAAAAGAGTGACACACAATTATATCACAAATTAAACTTGAAATAGAGCCCCCAAATTAAACGAGCACAAATCAATTCCCAAAAAAAAAATTAGAAAATCCATATTGAAAATCGAAGCAAAATCAAGATTATAAAACATCATTAAAGCTTCTCTACAAGAAGAAAGAAGAAAGAAAATCCATAACACATAATCAGAGACTAATATTAAAGAACAATTCGATTAGAAAACCTAGGACATTACAAATTACACAAAAGGGCTGAGACACAGTTAAAACAGGGTTTATTATACATATGAATTAAGAAAGAATCAAATTAAATTCCAACAAGAAACAAGAAATCATATGATCGACAGCCTTCTATCGGTAGAAACCCACTTTCCATTCACCCATTCCTGATGAACCCTCAACCCACTTGCCATTCACCCATTCCTGATGAACCCTTAACCGACTCATTGGGTAAGCGATCTGATCCCATGTGGTCTCGAAATTAACCAAATACTCCAACCCAACTTTGCCAGCGATGTTTCCGACCCACCAACCATCGTTGTCAAACGCATCGACCTTTTCGTACAAACCAAAGGAAGTCGCCGGAATTTGAGGTGGACGCGGGCGGACCTCGCCGGCGGTGACAATCTCTCTCAAGGGTCCGGACCTATCATCTTTCAACAGGGTCTTGTATTGGACAATGTATTCCTTCTCGAGAACCTCTGCAATCACTGTCGCAGCGTAGTACGAACCAAGAAACCCTTCTTCTTTACTCGCAACTTCAACTTGATCACCTCTGCGGAACCCCATGTTTTTTTCCAATTGTACTCTGAAAACACTAGAAGATGCGAATTACAGGGAATGAGATATGTAATGTAGAGAGAGATAAAGGGGGCGGAGTAGGGTTTTGGAGAGAAAACCCTAGAGAGAGAAAGAGATTCTTGAAGAGCAAGGTAAGCTTGTTCGCAGGAGAGAGACTTATTACAAAGAGGATATGTATAAGTGTGGTCTTGAAGAGCAAGGAAAGATTGTTCGCAGGAGAGAGACTTATTACAAAGAGGATATGTATAAGTGTGGTTTATATTTGATAAGGGTTAAGGGCAAAAAATAAAAATAAAAAAAAAATAAAAAAAGCTGTAGGGAAATTTATAACTAACCCCTCAAATTATAAAAAATACAAAAAATCTATTGAACTATATAAAAAAGTTGCATATCACTCCATTCGGCCAAGGTCCGGTAACAATTAGCCGTTAAATTTTGTTGAGTTTTTTTAAAAGACCATACTGCCCTTATAAACATGAAAGGACAAGAGTGCCCTTAAATTTCCAATCTTTGACTCCAATATCCAAACAAGGCTTTAACCTTGTGATTATCCAAACAAGGCTTTAACCGGCTGGTTTGGTCACCGGAGAATATATACAGGTTGTGAGCTTGCAGTTCTGTCAAAACTCACCTTTACTGGGTCATGGTAGCTTAGAGCTCGCTGCTGGGTCAGTCGAAACTCACCGGAGCGGGATGAACAGACGTCGCTGCTAGGTTAGTCGAAACTCACCGGAGCGGCATGAACGGAGGTCACTAATGGGTCAGTCGAGACTCACCGGAACTAGATTAACGAAGCTTGCTGCTGGGTCAGTCCAGGATCACGTCGGATTTCATGTGAGTCAAAGCCCAGAGCTCTCGCCGGTTTTCATTGACGTTTAAGCTCAAAGCTCGCCGGAACAACACGTTAATTTAGGTCCTTGAAAATTCGCCGGTGAAGTCGCTTAAACTCTTGTCAATATGGTTGTTAATGCTTAAGCTTCTCACCTATCTACCAACAATTTTCCTCCTATCTAAGAAATTTATCCATCTCTCTAATCCCTTTCTCTTTCTGTTTTTTTCTTTTTTTTCTTTTTTTTCTTTTTTTTCCTCCCAGATTCATCTCAATTTTGGCGCTAACAAAAAATTAAGAAAGAACTGTCTAAATTAGACAGGTATGGAAACTGATAAAGAAAAATCAGACCTTCTATATGTATGGGAAACTGATTAAGAAGAATTAGATTCCAATTTAAAATATGGGATACTGATTTGTTCTTAGTCCAATTTTGGTGCCCCGGTCATCTCTTTCCATTGAAGAAATCCTTACCAAGATGCACAGCTGATCTTTTTAGCCTCGCCGGAATTGCATCACCATGGTTGATCCCGCCGGAATCACGTCACCACCGTGATCCCATCATTTACTTTACTGATAGTTTTGGGAATTCCAGCCAAATCAATTATATCAGGGTTTGAAGAATTAAAGGAATGGATTTTGGAAAGAGATTGATCTGGTAGCAGGTAAGGGTTTCTTCAATACGTTTCCGTCGTCATCGCCGATTCGCCGTCATAGCCAGGGCCCAGTTTTTGGGGACAAACGGCTGTTTCTGATCGTGAGGGAGGTTGAAGAGAGAGTGAATCGGGAGAGAACGTTGGTAGCGGCGGCGTCAGATGAGGAGAGAGAGGGTTGAATTGGATGCCGTACGATTTTATCAATTGAATATACGTTTTTCTCTTGCCCAAAGAAACAAAACCATAACGATATATATTAATTGATAATACAGCAAACAACGTCTTTTTATAGGAATGGCAGTTTTGTCTTTTTATCTTTTCCGACAGTCTGAGTGGGTAAATTATAACAAATTAAAAGTTCAGAAGGATTTTTTTGTAATTTCGGAGATTAGTTGCAAAATCCCAAATAATTCAGACGATTTTTTTTTGCACTTAACCCTATAGATAATTCGGAATAGGAAACTAGGTTTTAGGTTTGGGGTGTGTGGCCGCTGTGATCTCCTGATCGCATAGTTTTCAGCCGTTTGATTTTAATCAAAGCGATAATAATTAGTACCAATCAGTGTGTAACGGTTGTTAATGCACAGCTGGCTCTTTTTTGTAATTTCAGGCACATATATTCTTGATCTGACTCTCACCAACTGTATTATTGATTATCTTGTATTTTTATTATCTAAATACTAACATATGTATATATATATATAACCGTATTACATAAATTAAATTGAGAAAAGAGTAGTAATTTAAAAACTAAATTCAGCAAAATTTAATTTATTATAATATCATATAATGAGACATATCACCACATTTACATGAATTAAATTTAATAAGTCTTTAAATCATTATTTGGGTAGAAAAAGAAGTTTAAATTGTCAATTTAATTTAAATGAATTTAGCATAATTGTGTCTTACTACTTCTTACCTATAAATTTCTATATATATTTGTCTTTCTCATTAGTAGTAAATTAATTATGATAATTTCCTTCGACCTATGGGTTGACTGTATGCATTGGGCCATCAACTGATGTGGGCGTAACCTAGCCTCACCCTGCAATTAATTATAACACTTCATCTACAGTGAACTAAAAAAAGCACACCGCCACCGCCACCGCCACCGCCACCGCCACGAATATCCAACCATGGGAACTATATTATGAATTTTTTTTTTTATCATACTTGTGCATTCACATATTTGTATGGGATCGCGAACTAACTCTCTAGTAAGGTGAATTACAACTTACAACGTAACACACTATTATAATGATTGAGGGCTCGTTTGGCGTAATTTTTACTTTTATTTTTATGCAGAAGAAAAGAGGAGCAAAAGTCTTTTTTTTTATTATTTATTTATTATTTATTTATTTTTTCTTTTAGCAAAACATTTATTAAAGCTCTTCTACTTGCTGAAATAACTATTTTACCCTTAGACAACTTTTATTTTTTTTTAAAAAAAAAAAAAACATTTTGGCAATATAAAGTAGTTAAACAGCTTTTTATATAATTATTCCCTAAATATCATACAAGAAAAACCTTTCAACAATTTCAAATTATCAGACAAATCCATATATAAGAACATTTATAATAATGTTGCTCACACAAGTATTTTCATCTCCAATAATGAAGATCCACCCCCTACACCTTGACCTCCATATAAGTAATACTAGTATAATCAACAAACTCATACTTTCTAAATAAAACATTAAAAAATAATTTTAATTTAAAACATAGTATTCATGAGACAATTCTAAATCTTTCGATTAATATGGTATTTGGATTCCATAATAAACATCAACACAATTCAACCCAACCATTTTTAAAAACGAATTTAATACAAATTTAAAAGGTACTAACAAGTGTAAGATTAACTTATTTTTATAACCGGACCAGCATGTGCCGGAGGTAGCTGCCCCTGGTCCACCAGAATTTTTTTTTTTTTCTATAAATAAATTTGTAGAAAATGATAAAATATTCACTTAAAATTAATAAAATGGCCCCTTTATCCCTGAATTCACTAAATTTTATTTAATTTTATACATATAATTTGTAAATATTTATAAAATACCTCCATAAAATTTATAAATTATCCCCCATAAAATTATCTATTTCTAAAAATGTCTTTAATTCTTTAATTCTTATTCTTCAAATTTCTTTTTGTCATCTTCAAAAACTTTTGCATTCTTTTTGTACAATTAAAACCTATTTTTTTCTTTAAAATTCTCTCATATTTTTTTTTTTCTTTTTATTTCATTTTCTTCTTAAAAATTTCTTTTTTCTTGCACTCATGCATAATTTATGTGCAATAACCTCTCTCTCTCTCTCTCTTTTCTCTTCTTATTCATTTTTTATTCACTTTTTCTAATGCACTGCTGTTACGCTATTATATTTTCGATCTGTTTTTAAAAAAATTATTTTATCAGTGTTAACATTCCCTTGAACCAAATTCCTGACTCTGCCCCTCTTTATAACAAATATTATAAACGAATTCCTCTATTTTGTGTACATATAATCCAAACAAGGCAATTTTGTATCTTTCCAATATATGTGTGTTTTTTCCCCTTCTAAAACTTGTTCTTAGTGGATCATGCACGCATGAGTGGAAATGGAACCTATCTATTCTAGGGCTGCAAATGAACCGAGCTAAGTCGAGCCTTAGGCTGTTCGGGCCGGGGCTTGTTTACTTATTGTTTAGCTCGAGCTCGTGAAGAGTAAAAAAATCTGAGCTCGGGCTCAGGCTCGACTCATTTAAGAAAACAAATTGAATTTATAGTCAAAATTTGTTAAAGCTCATTTAGTAAATTATTTTATATTTATGTTATACTTTCAAAATTTTAAAAAATTCATCAAAAAATAAAAATAAATGTAAACAAGCCCTATAACAAGCTTACAGTTCATGAATATAAACGAGCTTATATTCATGAACATAAACGAGCCTGCACGAGCCGAGCCAAATACTGCTCGGGATCGGCTCGTTTACTAAACGAGCTTAGAAATCGAGCTCGAACTCGAGCTTGGCTGATTTATTTAACGAACAAGCCTAAGCCAGAGCTGTTCATGAACAACTCGGTTCATTTGCAACCATAATCTAATCCATCATTAACTGGTCAAAAAATGTATAACCGCCTAGATGTATGATACATCTCAATTGTCCATTAAAAAAAGGGATGGATGTCTATATGTGATCAATTATTAGATGGTCATGGTCTATTTGACAATTGGTAGACTAATTCAATGAAAACCCTCCGATCACGAAACTTTGTAATTTATTAATACACTCTTGTTGAACCATTTTTTCAATTCGAGAGTTTATATTTAACTGGTCTACTAAGTGTTAATGGTTCAAAACCATCTAATAATTTATCCGCGATATATATAAGCAGCTAGTAGTCTCATTGGTAGCATTAACTTATCATGGAACCAGTCACTAACAAAAACAAATCTCACTATGATGAGGGTAGTCAGGGTTGGAAATTCGAAAGCTTGTCATTGCATAATTACATACAAAGCTTAGCGACATATCAATCTCCTCTAAAATAATTTTAATGCGAACTCTTGACAAATAATAGTAACAGTTACCTTGTAAACGTGGTTTTTATAAACGTTTGAGTGAAATATTATAGATTGATAATAAAAATATATATATTAAAATAGTAGGTGACTCTAAATGGAATTATTTCGGTTTTTATTTGATTATGTGACTCAAAATATTTTTAAAAATATAAGTAAAATAATTAAAAATTACGTTGTTTATACTATAATTTAGTGTTCAAATCCTATTCCATTTTTTCTAAGGAAAAAAACTATGTGGATTAAAGAATTAAATAATTGATTAAGATTAGTAGATTTGTCAAGAGATCCAATTTTGGGTTGAATTTTATCTAAGTGTAACGTGATAAGACGTGAGGTGGGAATTAAAATATTAAACCCAAAAATTCATTGAGACATTGATGATATAAATTTGATAAGTTGTTACATTAACAAATCAAATATGAGTTATGATTCTTTCATATTATGTCATACACATATTATCTAATGTCACAATAAATAGCATTTTTATATTAGAAAAAAAGTCCTTATTATTTTCTCTTCTTTTTTTCATTTAGGATTTTTTATCTCTCTTTATTGTATTTTTCTTTAATCAAGAGTCAGAAACCTAATTTAAGTTAAAATTAAAATTACAATAAAGAAAAAGCGAGATTAAGTTTAAAATTAGAAAATACGAGGAGGAGCTCCAAGCTCTTGCTTTTCGGGGATCTAGCTTCCCAATGGTTTAAAGGCTACTATATGGCCCAGTCAAGGCCCTGGTCCCAGCCCAAGAAATTATCTGCTGTTTCCATCCCTATTTGCGTTTTGTCTGTGTTGTTAAAGTAAAAGGATAATATTTTAATGTGGGCAGGTGGGCCCCACCGTCAATCATGAAACCGAATGCAATGAAGGCCCACCTATTCGTCTATGTTATCTTTTCACTCTTTCGGAATTCAATTTGGTCCACTGGCCCACATATAATATAACTCTGATTATCTAATGTAACATACATTATTATATTTATACTCAATTTTGTGTACCATAAAGGTCATGATTGTGGTCTTATTAGGGTTTTGCCTTTTGAGCCATGGGAGTCACAATCAACTAATTCTTAATTTTGCAACATTCAATCTAACCATAATGGACTTACGTGTCAAAGTCATGCCCGTGGCTTGCCCCATATGAGTGTGAGGGCTTTGAAATAGTGTGGATTCATTTCTCTCACTCACTACTTTGTAAAATTTTTTATCTCAACTCTTGAGAGATTGGGATACGGTGTGATAATCCAGTGGTAGGTAAGACATATAATGTTTGTGATTAAAGGCTCAAGTTCAAATTTTCATTCCATCAATTATCAACTTTATCAGATTCAGAGATCAAAAATGATATTAATCTAGTTTATTTTTGAATTACGAGACAACGAAACTTTTCTCCATTAGATTATTAATTTCCCGAAACTTGATCTAATGTGTGTGATTGGTACAAAACATCATGATGATCAAAGCTTTGAACATTGGATTATTTCACCAGGCTCTGTTAACATGGATACAATTTAGGTTGTACACTTGCATGTGTTATTATTGGTAGGCTAAAAATGCAAAGAAAATAATTTAATAGTATCTATCCACCTTTAGTACTTTACCCTGTCTATTTATAGCAAATGCAATAATTTAGCCAATTTGATCTGAATTTTAATTACTGTTACTGCCAATGTACCAATTATTATTATTAGAACAAAATAATGCTGTGAACTACACTGACAGAGGTCCAACAACTATTAATCTGTGCTTTTATAACATGAATACCGGAAAAAAATTGTGTCATTAATAAGAATTTGTGAATGAATTCAATATTTTTGCCCAAAATTCCTTGTTTTTATTTTTTATTATTATTATTATCTCCTAACCTACCAAGTACGAATGTATAAAAAAGCCTTTAACTGTGTTACGTTTGAGAGGGTTTGAAATGAATAATTGTTGAAAAATCGGATGCAAAATGAAAATATAGAAAAATTAAACATAGTTTTCATTACTTAAAACCCGAGGAAATTAAAACATGAACAATACTTGGGTCTAACTTAATTCATCCAACCTGCTGATGTGGTTCAATAGATCTAAAACAAATGTCAAAAGCAAAAATTATGATTTAAAACACATGTCCAAAAACAAAAGTTAGGGAATATCTAATTTAATTTTATATTTAATTTTAACACTTGTCGTAATTTTATTAGATCACATTAGTAGATTGGATGAAATTTATCTAACCTGAGTTGCACCTAAGTATTATTCTTAAAACATCTATCCACTCAGACTTGATATGATCATTTGATTTAAATTCTCTTGAATTTTTCATCTATGAAAATCAAATCAATAAAAATATAAAAAGAACACCGATCCTCTCTTTTGTACGTGAGGGTCTTAGACACCACCAAGGCAAAAAAAAAAAAAGAGGCTAAAATCACTTCAAATTTAGCTTTGTTGGGCAAGAAATCTAGTTCATTGTTCTCAACAAAATTTATAAAAACTGAGCAAAAATGATTAAAGATAAAATATTTTCAAGATTTTTACTGTTTGATTTAGAATTTATTTCTTAAAAACCATATTAAACAGATATTGAGAATAAAAAATAATATTTCTTCTACTATTATTATTATTGTTATTAGAAAAAAAAAAACGAAAAAGGAAGGGTAAGGATCATATGGTAAATTCACTAAATTGGTAATTCACTTCACTTCATTGACAATAACGACACTCGCTATGTGTTGAATGGCACCTCCCTTCTTTTATATGTAATCCCATGTGAGCATCCCTTGAGAGATGCGACCTCTCAGCCATAAAATAGTGACCGACTTTTCTGCCACGCCCTCTCCAGCGGATTTTTAAGCTCCCAGTGTTTCTGTGCACATTACCAAAGATAAGTGTGGTTTTAAGGTTTAAAAAATCATATATATATATATATATATATATATATATTTACAAACCAATTTAGGCATTTTTTGGTCCTTGTTCTTAAAAATTTCACTCTATAGATGAGATTATCCACATTTGGGTGGTCTACTATTTGTGGGTTTAAAGTGGAAAAGAAAAGAAAAGAATTAAAAAAAGAAGAAAAGCAAGATGTGTGAGCTTTACAATCATACATCATGATTTAAGAATGTGATTTTCACTAAAAGAGGGTTCTTTTCTTTGTTTTAGGGTCGTTTGTTGTTTTGGGTTTTGTGATTTGCAGATAAAGATAAGTAAAGATTGTGGCTTTTGTTAAAGAGAAGCTAAGGGTGTGTGGTGTTTCTGAGTTGTAGTCAAAAGTTCATGCTCTGGCTTCTTGGGTTCCTGTTGCGTTCAGAGAAGAATTAGACAACTTGGAAAAAGTTCCCAGTGTATTTGTTTCCTTATCTTTTTTGCGTTTTCATGCTGTCCAAACACTTTCCATCAATTGATGGTATAGCCATTTGTTTTGGGCTTGGGTTAGTTCACTAGAATTTCTGAAATTTTAAGCAGTTCTTTGAGGCAATTTATCAGTTATTTCGTCTGATGTGATATAAATAGACCTAAAGATGAGATAACTTGGAAAAAAGTTCACTTTCATGGGGTTTTCTTGCTATCCAAACATTTTCAATCAATTTAAGGTATATCTATTGATTTTGGGCTTGGGTGAGTTCCACTAGAATTTGTGAAACTTTAAGCAGTTCTTTGAGGCAATTTATCAGTTATTTTCTGTGATGTGATATAAATAGATTGAAAGATGAGATCTTTGAGTGGTGTAGGACTTGCTTTGAGTATTGTTTTTGGGGGTCTTCTACTTGCTCTTGTTGCTGAACTCTACATCTTGCTATGGTGGAAAAAGAGAATCACCAACAGAGACACTGAAGATGAATATATCAGCCCAGCAAGAGAGTTTCTGTGTTTGTTGTGTTGGAAAAGACCATCTTCATCTTTCAGCTCCACAGCTCTGAATCCCCAAGAACTATGTTCCTCTTTGAGAATCATAGACACCCATGTCCATGAACCACAATCTCAGCTCCATCTGCACTCAAACCAGGGCTTGTGGCTCAAACCCTTTGAAGAGTATGGTCCAGAGACTGAGCTCATGAGGCTGCAAAACATCTCAGGCCCACCAAGATTTCTCTTCACCATCAAAGAAGAAACAAAGGAGGATTTGGAGTCTGAAGATGGCAATAAGTCTAGGGATGGGTTGAGAAGTAGAAGCTTGAGTGATTTGGTTGTCACAGTGGAGACTCCATTTCTGACCCCTCTTGCTTCACCACCATACTTCACTCCTCCTCTTACCCCTAATTTGGACTTGTCATACAACCACCATGGATTCAACCCTCTCTTTGAATCATCAATTGATGCAGAGTTCAATAGGATTAGGGCATCACCACCTCCGAAGTTCAAGTTCTTGAGAGATGCTGAGGAGAAACTTTGTAGAAGAAAAATGATGGAAGAGACTGAGACTGAGACTGAGACTGAGACTGAGAATGGAATTCACAAGAGTGATGAGGAAAATGAGTCTTTTATCACACTTATTGTTGACAAGAACAAAGAGGGGAGAGAGCTAAATCACCATCATGATATACCACTGTACCATTCAAGCTCTTCACAGGTACTTCCTCTAGCTTCTTCTCCTTCAACATTCACAACACCAGCTAACAAGAAAGCCATCTTACATTAGAACTCCATCAACTGAACCAACCAAATTGGGTACACTCTTTTTTTTTTTTTTTTTTTTTTTTTTTTTTTTCTCTCTCTCTGTTTGTATGCATTCTACAAGAAATTTTCTTTTTTCGGATTTGGGTTTTCTTTTTTCTTCCTAATTGTATTGTGGGTGTTTGGGAATGAATTTAGTGGCTGATCTGCAAAACCCCTGTTCAATGTTATCTTGAATATTCATTAGGTAGACAACATCGAGAGGTGGTCTGATGCTAGTGGGAGAACTGTGTAGCCTGTGGGGTGGTTTGTTTTATTCAATCGCCATTTCTTCTGAGTTCTCTGGTACTGTACATTCATGTGGGTAATAGTACTATTGATTTTTATCAAAGAATATTGCAATTCTTTTTAGACCATAAAGTTTTCCCCTTCCTGTGGGTTGGTTTGTTTTATTCAATCTCCATGTCTTCTGAGTTCTCTGGTACTGTACATTCATGTGGGTAATGGTACTATTGATTTTTATCAAAGAATATTGCAATTCTTTTTAGACCATAAAGTTTTCCCCCTTCCCTCCTTGTCTTCACTAATTTTCCAACAATTTTTTTTTAATTTTTTTTTTTCCCTCCTATGGTAGAGTTCGAGCAAACACACACAAACTTACAAACTTACAGTATTATCCCTAGCAAGGCTCGAATTCAAATGCCCATTGGTTATGTTCCAATTTTTTTTGCCATCAATCATGAAATCATAATCTTGCTATCCCACATTATCTGAAGCTACCCATGGCCTATGATCAATCTATCAATGGATTAAGACCATCAGATCATCAATCAGCAAACAGATGATTGAAGAATTGATGCTTTTAGAAGATTTGAGAGAACTTTATATGTATTAGTCTATTGTTAAAAATAAAAATGACAGAGGTGAAATAAGGGATTAATTTAGAGTTTTTGGCTATAAGTTGATGCTTTTGGGCCTCTTCCTAAACAACAATGAATGAAATTTCCCGCGACAGTGTGTCCCGTGTGTAGATTGACCAAAAGGTATCACCTTTGAAGAATCATTCGAGTTAAAACCTTTTTCTCAGATCTTTGTGTATTAAATATTGTAAAATTCCAAGGTGACAAAATACAAATCCTTAAAAGCTATAAACCTTATATATATATATATATATCTCAAACAGACCTGCATTTTATAACTCATTCATCATACATCACATTGCAAGATTATGCATAAATAGTACCTGTTATGGCAATATGAGGCAAGACACAATAACTTGGAGCTCAGACTTGCAATCCAGAGGTAGGTATCTTAAACAATGTTTGGATGGTATGGGATTGTGTTTGTTTTTATAAAAATAATATCTCCCAGATGGGATCTGGTAACAAAAGAAAGTCTTGTTTTGGTCTTTTATCAAGTTATATACCGCGAACAGTGATTCGATTGATGATGAAAAAAGAGAATTCTCTCGATTCAGTTCTTCACCTAAATGACAGGAAAAAGGATTGATCAAATTTTATCGAGTCTGAACCAACCTGTCTAAACAGACAATTTGAAGATCACAAAAAGCATTTAGCATGTCATTTTCTGGCACATCACAGTTGAAGCTCGTCAATGAAGAGAGCAAGCATTTGCACCTTTCGGGCGCGATGACATGGGTGATGTCCCAATCCCTGTGCAGGTGAGGTTGAGCCAATAGAGAGGAGTTGAATTTTATTCACGGTTTCATAGAAACGTTCGTGCTTTCTAGGTGCAAATTTGTAACTTTCAATGCAAAAATATTATACTTGAGTACACACAACTTTAATGAATTGTCAAGGATTTTAAAACTATAAAATACCCAAAGACTATAATTTATTGACAAATTTTGAAACAATTGTGAAAAGAAGAACCAAAGGAAAAACGTAGGGTTCGTGTGGGAGATTACATGTCATTCAAAATTAATATAAAATTGGGATTTCATTTTCATTTAATTTCAATGATAAAATTAAATGGTATTGACAAACGACTATGATATGAATTAAAACTTTCTAAGTGTTATTCTTTTCTATGAAAAAAAAATCCATGCGTGTGTTAATATTAAATAGGTTAATGATAAATTGAAAAATAATTGGTTGGAATCATTCCAAAACAATTTTTAGCTGATACACAAACGAATTTTTGATTTTTTCTCTCGAAATTGTTTTGTAATTTTCTCAATCAAACATTTTTAAATTGAAAAAAATTATCTGTCCTCGTATTGTAAAAACTGTTGTTGAAAACAATTTTAAAAGTTTCAACCCAAACAAGGTCTTAAACTTTATGTCACTGCTCTACTAAATTTAAATATTATGAAAAAAAAAATTCATAACATTGCTCAACTTATTAATAAAAAAATAGAATTATATATATATATATATATATAAATCAGTCATTACTCTCTAATATTATCTACTAATTTTTGTGAGTTGAATTCATTAATGGCTTCGGCAAAAGTGTAAAAATGACATAATTAATTCATAAATAGTGAGAATTTAAATCGAAGAGGTGCGGTGCATAATACTAGCAGCATACTTGGAGCGTGAGACTTCCTCGAGAAATCACTGACTAGAACCCTCCTGACCGCATTTCTCAAGTACCTCTCTCTCTCTCTCTCTCTCTCACAAACACACACACACCATCATACCCATAAAACCTGAGAGCGACTCATCAATCCATAATCCATACTATCTTTGAGCGCTGTGTCTCACTTCAGCTGAGTAATTTCATCGAGCACCTGCTGTGCAATATACATCGGAGTAATGAGAGCCAACAAGACCACCGTCTTAACACTTGCAGAGAAATGCAAGGTCTCTCTTATATATATCCATATATACACACGATAATTACTCTCATCGCCTGATATCTTCAGTTTTGGTGGCGTCACTCATTACATTATTGATTTATTTTCAATTTTTGCAGAGTATATTAGCATCGAACTGGCAAGGTAATCTTAATACCATCAAAGCCGATGCTAAAGGAAGGTATTATTCAAAGACATCTGAATGAATAATTAAAGTATCAGCTAATCTTAGTTTTTCTTACCGAAATAGAGCATTTTTTTTTTTTGTATTTTTGATGAATTGTTTGTTTAGAATTGGGTTTGTTGTGTTTCTCTATGTTTTGATATTTCTTAGCAGTTTTTTGATGAATTGTTTGTTTAGAAATGGTTTTGTTGTGTTTATCTCTGTGTTGATATTTTCAGCAAGGAGGGAATTCACACTTCAAAGGTCAAGTACTTTGTCAAGAGAGGGAAGGCTTACATTTGGGTGCCCGAAAAGGACTTGCATAATATGGTAGGCTTTCCTTTTGTACTGTATAATTTTGTTTCTAAACTTTAGATGAATTACTGATAGAATTGTTGCTTCACATTTTTAGTTTAACGTTTTCGTGATTAATTTTGAAAATTGAATCATCTCATTCTATTTTATATGATATTTAACAAATTTTGGTAATATAATAGGATATCACCATGTTCATCACTGTATTAAAATTAAGGATTGAGGTTGCTTTTCAGAGTATGTTAGAGGCTTGTTTAGATCCTATCAAAAGGCTTGTTGAAATGCTATTGAACTGCAATAAGTACTCATCACAAAGTGGAATTGAATCAATTTGAGTAGTCCAAGTGTTTATTCTTTTGTCCTATCACCTAAGCAGTTTGCGACTTTGTAGTTTGCACATGAACAGATGGGAGGTCATCTTTACCAGAATAGTGAAATACAGTGGAATATGTTCTTTTAATTGTTTCAATTGCTCAGTTGAATCAATCCACTTATTTAGTTTGATGGTTTCTTGCTTGTTCAAGGGATTGAGAGTCCTAACAAGTAAGTATTTTGCATCAATATAGTGCATCATTGTTGTGAGGAGTGCGCAGCGGAGGCGCAAACAAAATTGCGATAACATGAACCTGGAAAAGTGCGACCTGTTGGTAATAGTGCGACTGGTCGGGCTTCCCCAGAATACCGCTGTCGTGAACAAGGCCATGAAAATCCAACCAAAGCAATAAAGCATTCACACAGCACAACACAAGATGTACGACCGGCCCGTGTACACCAACTCTTCTCCTAGAGTTTTTCTCTGATGTATTATTGCTCCCAGGGTAGAGGACCGATACTCGAGCAATACGCTGTGTACTGCAAGATACCTTCTCATAACGAGACACCTTCTCGAACGAACAGGTCGAATACGAAGAACTCTCTGGAAACTCGCCAAATGCCCTTGTGCACCACATTTTTTCTCTGCCTCTCTAGTAAACTCTCTCTGCTACGAGGACCAACTGGTTTTACTGGTACCGTTTGATGTCGCACAACTCACTCCCTCGTGAGGCTGCCCTTACAGGATACATGTTTCTCCACTCATGCCTCTCAACAATACCCTAGGTATCTATATATAGAGACCCAAACTTAATTATTTGGTGGACAAGGATTACAATTCGTTAGTGGCTAAGACTTGCCTTGATTTGTAGGCCACGACTTGCTTTACAGGAAATTATCATATAAAATAACTTTAAAATAGAAACCTAATTCTAATTGGAATATGAGCCACAATTCCTAACAATCACAACCCTCTTTGTTTCTTGATGATTTCTTTTTTCAACATTGAACTTAATTTTTTCTGGGCCATTATGATATAACCGTGTGAAGGTTTTTAAAATATTATATATGACCAAAGGGCCTCTAGCCCAATGGTATAACCTCCCTATCCTCAAAGAGGAGGGGTGGGGTTTGAGCCCAGGCGTGGACAAAAGTGTGTGTGAGAACTTACATGATCAAAAATAAAAAAATAAAAAAAAAAATGAACATGCAATAACCTAATCTATCTTTTTTATTTTTATTTTTATTTTTTATCTTATAACTTTAACAAAGGGATGTTTATTACTATGGGCTCCTAGAAAGCCCTACTAATGCATTTATAAGAAGTTGAAGGAAAAGAGAACACAAAGAAGATATAAATCTTAATAAAATGTTTCAATTTTAAGACATGGCCACTTGGGAACTTGTATTATCAAGTTCTAGCCTTAGTGGAATCCTGCTTTATGTTTATTTTAGCGTAGGATGCTGTTTGTCAGTATTCAGTACATCTTTTTATGTTTCAGAAGTAGTTCTATTATGGTATTTTGAAATTCTGTTTCCATCACTAGAGACCATAGAATTAGACCTCCAATAGTTTAATTGTAAAAATTTGTTCCTACTGATCTAGGGATGTTAAACTCAGGCTGCGACTAAAATCTTTTTGTTTCTCAGCATGACTAGGCCATTGTACCTCATCTCCTTCCTGTGTTCGTCACTTTGTACGTGGAACTTTGTAGAGGTTGCTTTCCATATATGCTTTTAGTATGGTCATAAAAATGAGTGCTGATTCCTTGGAAGTTATGGTTGCATGGTTCATATTATATACTTTCCTTCAATTCCATCCTCCTATTTTTTCTCTTTCTTTCAGTTTTCCATTATACATCAGCTATCTTTATCATTTTTGCTACAATATCTATTCCTAAAACATCTTAGTGCTGTAGCTGTTGATACCTAATTGTATGATTGACAATGATATTTTCAACTTTCAAGATTGCCCATACATGATATAAAATCTTTATATTTTATCATTTTAGTTGAGTTAATTATTTGAATGTGAAATTTGACTTGTCTCTGAAGTCTTCCGTTGTATCCCTTTTTCTCATGTAGAATACGATCATTGATGAGCGTGGTTCTTTTGCTGTGACCAGTCCCTACCCAGGTCCACTTGGAAAGCTACTTACATCAATAAAAAAGGTTACTGCTAAAAATTTGGTTATCTTGTTTCGTAATTTAGCTGATTCAGGGAGGTCAATTTCTGTGTTTTTCATTTTATAGATTTTAAATATTAGGCTTTCTTGGTAACCAGTTGCACAATAATGTACAGATTTTAATGTCTTTAACAAAATAACCTCGACTTAATGCCAGAATATACCAAAAGATCATTTATTTGTATGATGCAGTTACCAGCTCGGGTTGCTCTGAGTGGAGATGTTCTGCCTCTTGGTGATGAAAAGGTAAAGATATTATACTATGACTCTTCGTAAGTGTAAATCTCTTTTATTTTGACTGGGAATTTGGAGCTAATGTTGGTATATTTATCAGGATTGCATTTTATATGCGTTTTTATTACTTTTCCTTGCTTCATATTATTGTTTATATAATTGTGATCTATATCACAGCAAGTCCATTCATGCTACCTTGAAACTGATCATTTTATTATCAAATGAATTAGTAAATAAACTTATCTGAAGATTCTTGAATCTGTTAGATGACAGTTTGAAATATTTTGTTTGATCACTAGATAAATTTATGCTTGAGCATTTTTCTCATCTTATGACAGGCTGAGCTAGCTGCAGAAAGCCTTAGAGACACAATATTGTCAGAACGAAAAGCAACTAAGGAGTCTGCTTATTCAGTTTCTGGTATACTAAGTTCTGCTAATCTTGGTTCAACATCTCGCAGTGAAAACCTTCAGGATCTACTAGATGGAAATGAGCAATACACCATTTATAAGTTCAATATGAGGTAGGGCCTTTTCCTTTGGACTGTTTTCATCTCTTTTTATTTATTTATTTATTTTTTCTTTTTTGGTGTTGCTGCATAACTGTAGTCATGAGCATAATTTTTGACTAAAATATCATCCCAAAATACTTGGGTGAATGAGTCTGTTGAATCAGAGAAACATGGCATAAATTTCAAGTTCTGAAAGAAATCGAAGCTTCAGAACTTGAATGCGCTTTAATGGCACGGAATGGGTCTTATATTGCAGAAAAGTATGGTTTATCCTTATATCTCTTATTTTAAAATGTACTTACACTACCTGCCCACTAATGGATTTCTGCTACACACTTCATGGAATTGTAGCAAATCATTTGTGCTTGTGGGAACACCATAATATACATTACTTTAAATAAAATTAACCTTTTCATTTTATCCAAGAACATAAAATTATTACTAAAATAGCTTTTATCATGTCATGAATGTTTAAACAGATTAACATGACATGACGCATTTCAAATGGGTATCTCACCATTTTTCTGTAGGTTACTCTTCCAAGTTAAAAAATTCTTCAAATGGGGATTATGTGTTATTAATCCTAAGAAGTTTCATAGGATTAATATTTTGCAAGTAATAATGGCAGGTCTATAGGATTATGGCAATATTCATAACTGATGTTGGCATGGTTAAAATCTTTGGGTCATGTAAAATTTCTATATGATGTCAAAGAGGAGCTTGAATGTGTTTGAAGATTAAAGCTGTCATTTACAGTATTCAAATAAAAATCATATTGGAAAAAGAAAAAGGAACAAAAACTTCTTGATTACAAACTTACATCTGATACAAGTTATCAACTTTACAGTTCATATATGTATATTGATGGCGATGGAAGCACTCATGAAGTAGAGTTGGAGAATATTGAAGCATCTAAGGCAGATCCATTATGTAAGATTCTCATTGCAAGTACATATAAAGCATGATTACTCTGTATTAAACATTATGGTCCACAATCTTTTTATTTTTTATTTTTTGTCATGGAAGCTTATGTCTCCTGTATATATGTATATTTTTTGTTTCCATGTAGCACCTTTTTCTGCAAGCCTGATTGATGGGATTAATCAAAGTGATGTGAGGCGTAGAGCTCTGGTTCTTTTCTGTATCACACGCTTGAATAGACATGCAAAGGTAAGAAACTAGTCAACATATTACTGGTAAACATGGATATATCTACTATTAGACATGGTTGCAGCTACAGTTGTCCTTTACTAAACTGTTTTTTTAATATTCACATCCTAATTGTTACAAATGTTGCGTCATCGTTATTCTATTTAGTTATTATTAGTTTTTTTGATAAGTATTATTCTATTTAGTTATTATGTATACATTTGAATTAAATACTTGTCTAAGAGAGGGGCACGAGAAGACAAAGATTTACTTGAAGTTATTCTCCTGCTGTAATCTCTGTATTTCTCGAGTTAGATATGAGTATATGACCATCTATGCTATTTAGATTGTGTTAACGAATATAAGAATCTCTTATAAGTAATTGTCTTTCTTACTGGTGCAAATCATCTTGCCGATTATCTATTGTCATATATATCATGAGCTTTCTATTGTATTGGTGAGAACTTTCTACTCCTAGGGGTACAATCGCATTGATGGGTTATGGTGGACATTTTACGACTGGACTTCCAAGCTTGGAGGGTCAAGTCGGCGGTGATTTTCCTAAATAAGAGGTGTCGGCATCAATTACACTATCTGAATGAGATCAGGTTATTTAATCACCAATAAAGGTTACAACAATGCTTTGTTATTTTCTAATTTGTGAACCTCTAAAGATGAAGGCTTCCCATGTTCTTTTCTAAGCTTAACATTCTTGAAAGATTTTTGGAGAACTTCTCTTTTCCAAATTTCACAGATGGTTTATAAGTAACATGCTCAGAGGTTGGTAGAAATTCTTGTTTTCTTCCCCTCCTGTAAGTTAGATATTTATTAAAAGAAAGAACACATATACAATACAAGCTACAATGGGCATCCCCAGGCACAAAGAAACACAAACTGCAACAACAACAAACTAGAACAAAACAACCTACAAAAGACTAAAATCATGGTAGACACACATCAAGCTAGAAATAGAAGCCAGAAGCCTACAAATCCAGTACCAAAGATACAGAGAAACTAAAAGAATACAAACTAATCTGGAAACAATTTTAATAACTAGCTGAATTTCACCTGTGATAACCCCATTGATCAGCAAGCCATCTGTAAGGTTGGGGAGATTAGGGGAGGTTGGAGCTCTAAGTAGGTGAAGTCTCCGGTAGGGGTTTGAGTTTGGAAATTCATTCAGAAGGGTAGCAATGAATTTTCAAATCATATTCGGTTCAAGGTGATGGGTGGGAGGTGTGATACCCCTCGGATTCGAGACACGGGTTGATCAGGCCCAGGCCCAAACCCGAGGAATATCAAACAATTAATATGTTATAACGAACACGGAATATAAAATAAATTTAAGAAACAATAGTTTAAGCTGAAAGAAAACTAAAATATAAAAACCTTTAATATTAAATATACTTAAATCCCAATAATCCAAAACCTCCATAAGTTAACAACTCGGGAATCCATCTCTAGTGGACCCCTAAAAACCAAACTGAAATGAAAGTAAACTGAAGATAAAATCCAAATCAAATATCTGGAAGGAAGTCCTACATCGTTAGTAGAATGGAAGATTGTCTCTGCCCAGCACGAACAAGCTCAAGCCTGGAACTGACGTACACCTGAAAAATAGGAGTGGGTCAGGCCCACAAATAAGTTTTAACCTACTACAATCCAAGCAGAGACTCGATACGCATAGACACTCTAACCAACTCAACAATAACTATATAAGTCGTGTATATATATATATATCCACACTATGGACTCTCGTTGGACTATGATACGGGTCTCAACCTGAGTAGAAGGCAACATGCAAAACGCACTTGAGTGGGCATGACTACCTAAGCCTAACAGGGTACATTACAACCAGCATAGCCAGCTACGCATCCTACTACATATACGCTCCCTAACCGTCGACTCTGAGACTCAAGCTCATGTCACGGTACCATAATATTATATTTAAAATTCGTTCATAACCATCCATAATAAATCTAGTAAGTCGTTCAGCTTATTTAACTGCACAGACTTAACATAGATAACCAGTAATCCAGCTAGTCATTCAGCTTGTGCAGCTTCTTTGACTTAGCCTAAATATAAGTAGGATTTATTTTTAATCCATTCCCTTATTCCGTATAGGTAGGATATAGCAATTTTGAGCCAATCCAAACCTAGTATGTCACCGTCCCATACCGGTGCATACAATCCAATTCATCCGGCAGTTGATAGAATAAATAAAATTATAACTATCAACCAATCCATACATTCCACAATTGACAATAAAACATTAAGTACAAATATCAATTGTTCCATATTAAGCATGATAAAATAATTGTCAATTAACAAGCTTAATCCATATTACTCTGAAATGTCCATTAATTGATACTACAAGTTATACATGTAAACCAATTAATTCTAATCAACCATAACAGAATATAAATGTTCACAGGTTTATTTTTAGTAATTCTGGAACTTGACTAACTGCAAATCATCACTAAGAATTTTAATACCAAAGCTTAAACATCTTGCAGTTCCTCCCATCCAAACTGTAAACTAACTTGGGGCCAAATAAGCATACTAAACCATTTAAATCCACACGCTTATTTTATAACATTGGGATAGGTTTAATTGAGAATTTTATTGCTAAGAACTGCTATTCTAAGTGTTAAGCAATTCTGCATCATTTCATAACAAAAACACAGTAAACTGATTAATTAAGCATTGTCCACTGTCGCATTAAAACAAAGTTGTTTTATTTTGCATAAATCTTCTCTCAAGGATTTTAATCAAGCTTAGACCACCTCTAAACACCTCAATATAGCTTCCAACAGAAACTGAAAATTCCAAATTCCAAGTTCTGTAGCCCACAAAGTCGCAAAAAAATTAAAAAACGCACACCCGAGGGAAGAGCCTGCTCTACCAAAAGAAGAGCCTGCTCTTCCCATCTTGGAGCCGGCTCTACTAGAAGAAGAGCCTGCTCCAAGACCCCCTAGAGCCGGCTCTACTTAAAAGAAGAGCCTGCTCTTCTTCCGGAAGAGCCTGCTCTTTAAAACAGTGAGCCGTCTCTCTCTCTGTTCTTCATCGTTTTCAATTCCGGTGAGTTTCTGATGAATTGACCTTCATACCTAAGGTTCCTAAGTGTTTAAATCAGGTTCCAACTTGTTCCAGAATCCACTAAATTCTTTGTTCAGTTACTAAAATCAATTAAAGCATGAATTTTGCATCAAGAGTTTAATACGAGCAGTTTATGCCTTCCCGAACCCCAATTGTTTTAACACACCAAACTTGCAAACTAAATTAATTCCAGTGGTTCCCAACATGGTATAAAACTAATTAAAATCATTATTGATCAACCTACATGATTTAAAACAGAAATTACGCAACGAAGAATTTAATACAAACATTAACCAACTTGAACACACATCCAGTTTTAAGCATTTAAAACATGCAATCCAGTTCAGTTTTTAATCCTTATTAAATCCTGGAATTGTATCATTCGTGCAAAGAACACGAGCTAAAGGGAAAGAGATAGGTTTAGAACTTGCCTTTAGGTCTCAGTTTGAAACCTTACAGCGTTGCTTCCTAAATTCTCCGGCGAACTCCGACTACTGTAAACCTTCCTCTGTTCTCTCTCTCTGTCTCCACAGACGTGTTTAGGTTCTAAAACCCTAGGTAGAACCTTAATGTATATATTTATAGGATTAAGGTTACCCTAATTCTAGTCCTAATACTAGACAGGAAACTAAGTCGGCTAAAGAAAAATAAAACAAAACCCTAAGTTCAATTAACGAAAAACAGAAAAATAAAATAAAATATAATAATTAATTAATTAATTCACAAAACCACCACTAAATAATAAGTCATTTAAATAAAGTCACACTTAATCAACAAATTCACAACTAAATAAATAAAAACACAATTTAAATAATTAAATAAATTCCAGAACTATCCTTGTTAAATTAGGGGTATTATAGGAGGTATATTTGTTTTCGGGAGGACACTTGGTGTGGGGGATAGATCTCTTCCAGGCACATTTCTGAGACCTTTTAGGATCGCAGCGAATAAGCATTGTTATTGTCTTGATAATAGGAGGATGACTTGGGTATGCAGTTCGAACAACATTTGCAGGACTGGGAGTTGGAGGAGGCTGAGTTCTTAAAAAAGAAAAAAAAAAAAAAAAAAAAGTTTTCCTGTTGAATTGCAAAAACAGAACTTCACTTATGACTAAACCCTCTAGCATTTCTCTCCCTCCAAATAAAAATACACAGAAGCTGCCAGAGATAACTTTTCAATTCTCTTCTTTAACCTTTTGCCCCTTAATTCTTTAGCCAATTTAGAAATCAGCTCAGACCATTGAATGCTTTGATCCCTAACCATGAAATATCTCCAAACTGAGGACAGAAATGTTCCATTGTTAGAGTTTGGTTTTCCTTTTCAGTTGCTTTCGAAAATTGCAAGTTTGCAACAAAAGGAGGGTGGGAAGACACTAATTATTACTTATCCCTTCTTGGGAGCTTGGCCAAAATAAATGTGATTTGAGTATTCAGGGGATGACTCACCTGGTGGTGAAGTTTTACCATGGATGTTGTCTGATCTCTAGAAACAATTCTTCTTCTTCCTGAATGTTGATGAATGAAACCTCATTATATTTAGCTATTACTGATTGGTTGAGATTTGGAATTGAAACCTCAAAATATTTTTCATTTATTTTATTTTTTTTAATCAAAGGTTTTGGAATAAAATTTTGTTCAACTCTTAACGGAAAACTATTCACAGTACTTTTAATTTCTTCTTTCTTCAGACTTCAAATGAAAAAGAGGTCAACTGTTTATTCCTTGGGCTGTTAATCTGATTACCCAGAATCTCCTTATTATCTGTCCATTGAAAAGACAAAGAAAAGACCTCCTGCAATCTCTAGCCCTATTTCTGTGATCTAGTGCAAACTCAAATCTGAGTTTTCTGAACTGTTATGGTCAGATTTGACTTGTTGTGTTCCGTTTCTCATGTGACTGTGTGTTGGTTAGGTTTGTACGCATCCAAAATGACATATCACCATCTTCTTAATTTTGGTGTGAAAATATGTCCATTATCATTACTTTTGATCCCATTGAAAATTACAAAAATAACTCATCTTTGGTTTCATGTGAAGGATGCATTTATGCTTTCCATAGATCGGAAAGGATTTGACGTGCTGGGAATGGTTCTAGGTCCAGCAAAGGCTGATGGTTCTCGTGAATACCAGTGGAAAGATTTCAGGTTCCCTTTTATTGAAGAGGCACGTGATGTCGACACATTCTGTCAACGGCTTGTTGAGATGGAAGAGGAGGCCCTCAAGAAAATTAAAACTTTCAGTGGTTTAGGATGAAAATGAACTTGGATGACTGGACCTAAAGCACTCTTGCAGCAACATTTTCTTCGTGTATTTTGGTTATATAGACAATGTAATGGAACATAGAGTAATATCAACTAAAAAAAGTGGGCACTGGGCAATATATGGTTTATCGGTTCACATTAAACATATATATGTATATATATATATATGCTGATCTATGCTTAATCCATTATAGCGTATGGAATGAACTGTGTCTATGGTTATATATATGCATTGACTGGACCAACATCTACCCTATGGGAAAAAAAGGGTCATAAAATTAATGGATTCAGAATGTTTTGGACCCTATCATCTTTTGTATGTGTACACAAATTGTATTGGGGGCATCGATTAATTTTCCTTATCTATGTTGGAATCTCCCAGTAGGAGCATCTTGATATAAAAATCACGTGAGCAGCAATTGACAATGAGGTTATCTGCTCCTTAAAATTGATTTACAGGTCTCAAATTCTCTACTACAAGCACGTGATCAATGGTGTACAGTGAGAGAGACCGAATTGTTTTAATATAAATGTTTGTGCTAGGCAAAGTTTAATTCCAATGCCCAGTCTTATACCAAATATGTATTATATATATAATATGTGTGTGTGTATATATATATAGAGCGAGTGAGATGTGGGAAGGGGAGGTGACAGCAAGTGAAGGAATTAATAATGGTGTAAAAAGCTGCAATGGTTGTGCTTACTTTCCAACTATGTATCTATACAGGTAAAGGGCGGCTTTTTGCATGAAAATGAGTTAAAGACATATTCTGCTAAAGATTGATTAGATAGGGGAATTAGATTCCGAGACCACCAACTTTAAATTCCTGATTTTCAAAATCACATGCACACATTCAACAAGCTACAGATTTGATTCACAGAATCACAATGTGTTGCATGCACGATCCACCACTAGTCGGTTAATTAAATTAACAATAATTCTCATTTGTCTTCAACCATCCCCCATTTTGCATACTTGACGCAATAACAAGGTCGCTACAATTTGATTTGGGAGTCGCGAATTTAAAATAAAAAACCTTCTCTCTGGCATTCGAATTGAAAGTTACGTATATCTACGCTTTTTCAAGACTTCATAATAACGGATACTTTTTGTATGAGATTAACATTTTTATCATTCTCCTTATCTTTGTTAAAAACGTGATAAGGAATCTAAAAGCTTTTAGATTTTGGTTGGTGACTTCACCCTCTTCACACTTGACATTTGATAAAAAAAAAAAAAAAAAAATGGCACTTTATTTGTATAATGAAATATAATGAACAATTAGTGATGGAAATGAGAGGAACAAGGCAGGGCCAGCAAGACCCAATGGACCGAGTTTGCTCTTTAATGTAACTATCCTACTCTTTGGATCTTTACTATAACTTTATACCTTAAATCAATGTTTTAAAAAAGTATTAAAAAGACCTTTATTTGTTTCCTCAGATACAATTGCATGTGGGAAAATTTTCAAATCAACCACAAAAATTTCCACCACTAAAATACATTTGAAGTGTGCTTACACAACCGGAATTGACATCTTGATTTAATTTCTATAATAGAAATTAAAAGCGGAAAAAAAATAGAAATTAAAAGAAATTTATGCTATATTTGGTAGTTTAGAAGTGAATGTGACTTATAATTTTTATTGCTAATTATATATACTAATAAAAACGACTATAATTTAGTAATCTACACATAAATCTAAACAGAGTACGGTGGGGTGACCTTCCCCCACCTCGCAGCCGTACGGTTTTTTCCTTCTAAACCTCATTCTCGTTTAAACAGGGCCGCTCCATCCTATCGGGGCAAATTGCCATCCTTATTTGGAAGTATCGTATCGACACCTTTAATTTAAAATTAAAAAAAAGCGGTTAGTTCAAGATTTAATCTAATCTTTATCCAATTTGAAATTCAAGACTGATTTAGTGCGCAAGGTTAGTTTTGTTCATACAAGATTGTGTCTCAAACCTTAACTTTACTATTTTAAATAAAGAGTCACTTCATTGTACAAGCTAGCTCTTGTCCTAAGTAATAGGAAAAAATATGATATATCTAAAGTGTACCTCATCACATATGTCATGATACGCATTTAATTATTTAAAACAAGATTTTGCGAGAATTATTATTAGTTAAAATTTCGTTTCAAAATTCATTTACAATATTATGATATGGATCAATCAAACTTTTGTGTTCTCCTTTCGTTTTTTAACTTGCTCGTGTAATATTTTAAGATAATTTGATTTAGTTTTTGTTTTAGAACGATGCCATTTTAATATGTGCAATGTGATGATCTAACTTATGCATAATTTTAAAAACTTATGCATAATTTTAAAAACTTATGCAACTTTCAGATAAAAAGACAAAAAAAAAAAGAAACTTATGCATCATTTTTCTTGCTCGAAGTATATTACTTATTTAAAGAAGATCTCTTAACAACAACTATGAGGTGGACCTCACGATGTAGCTTTACCCCCTTTTTTTTTTTTTTTTTTTTTTTAATTGGTACTCACACACACATCTCTTTTGAAATTTGAATTACTAATTTTTCTTTAAAAAGTAAAAAGATGATAGGCCACATGTTGATAATACATTAATAAAATATTATGTTTAATACAATAAAATAGTCAAACGGGACCATGTAATAATTTTTCAGACTCCACACTGTGTAATTTGTTTTTTACCCAATTTAACCCCCCCAAAAAAACCTATTAATTCTTGAGCTTTATATTCATAAATAGTTTGTTTGTTTGTTTTTTTTTTTTTTTTTTCCTAGGTTTAAATAGTTTTGAAGTTAAAGCTGATAGATGCACAAGGTGTACGGGCCTTCTTTGAGGAAGAAGCAAAGTAGTAGGGTCCTTTTTGGTAATTGATGTTTTGGAGTGTTGGACCACCACATTAATAAGTGGTCTTTCCTGAACCATTTTTCTTCTTTTCAGCCTTATGACTAGCAATTTTGTGTCGTACTATCCACAACTATTTACTTCAAAATCCCTCCTACTTCAACTTAAACTTTCCCATGCCATGATGTTCTATATATCCATTTCATGGGCTTCAAATAGGGACGGACTTGTTTAATTGTCCCCACTAAATTTTTATTTATTTTTTAAATATTAGTACTACTGATATATATATATATATATATATATATATATATATATATATATATATAACATTTTATTTATTTATTTTTTTATTTTTAGTCTATAAAATTTTAACATTGTGATATTATTGGAAAAAAAAAAACGCTATTTCCCTTTTACATAATTTCTTAAGTTTGTCCTCACAGAAAAGTATATGTGTCGATTAATTAAACAGTCAGATCTACACATGAATGTCCGCTTTTAAACTTCAAATACGATGATGGATTGATATGTTAAATTTCCCCATGAATGCACTAATTATTTTTATTTATTTATTGGAGACTATAATTCTCAACCTTATAATTTAGCATGATGGGATAAATTCTTACACTATATATACATTTATGACAAAAAAGGTGAGACATATATATCATAGCCCCCATCGTATACCAAACTTAGAATAACCATCACAAAGTGATACAAGGCATAAATATCGTGACATATATTATATCAACTAATTAATGGGAAGTGGACAAGGTGGCTGCACATTCATGGAATCAAGTTAAGATTTTTAGTCTTTTTCTACAAAGATTTGATGCGAATATTAATTGTTTATCTCATGGCACTTAAAAATCTTCGAATTTAAATGATATATGTAATTTATAAGTGACTGTACAAATCTAAATTATATTTTACAATCAAAAGTTTAAAAGGCCGGTAGTTACAAGGTTTCCACTCATTAAATGTTTTTATTTACCTTTTATACATATAGTTTATTAAATTATACAAAAAAATTCAGGGAATTTATTTATTTTATTATACATTTTATGCATATGTATTATTAAATTATACAAATGACCTCCTAAAATTATTATTAGTTTTCAAAAAAAAATATTTCTAATTCTTTCTTTGTTCCTCTTCTTATTCATTTTTTTTTTTTTATACATATAGTTTATTAAATTATACAAAAAAATTCAGGGAATTTATTTATTTTATTATACATTTTATGCATATGTATTATTAAATTATACAAATGACCTCCTAAAATTATTATTATTTTTCAAAAAAAAATATTTCTAATTCTTTCTTTGTTCCTCTTCTTATTCATTTTTTTTATTTTTATTTTTTATTCTTTTCTGCAAAATTAGAAAAAACTGCATTTCATATTTAATCAAATCCCTTTTTTTTTTTCAAAAGTTTTCTCATATTTTTCTTTCGTTTACTAGCAAAAAAAAAATATATTATGATGTGTTAATGTTCCCCCTAAATCAAATTTCTACTTTGGTTCCTGAGTGTGAGTGGAGAATTTAGTGGGAGCGGAGACATGTAGCTCCTTCCATGAAAAGGGTGTAGTAGAGGGAGGGAGAGAGAGAAAGAGAGAGAGAGAGAGAGAGAGAGAGAGAGAGAAAATTTTGGACGGAATGACTAGAGAAGTGTATATATATATATATATATATATAATAAATTTATAGCAATTTTTTATTTTTATTTTTAAGTTAAAACAAACATAAATCCATTATTCACAATATGTGAGTTAAGAGGCCAGTTGGTATTACATCGTTATATAAATAACATTGATGAAGGGAATTTGTGTAATACTCAAAAAGATTACGTTTAAAAAACTCAGTAAAAACACGATATAAAATCTTGTACAGTAAAGGTTTTACTTTCTCATCGAGCCATAGAGCCTGACAGAATGTTTATATATATATATGAGGGTAGAAGAAAAGGAGTGTGAGGGAGCACGTTGATATATATATATATATATGTATGTATGTGTTCTTTGGTAGGCAGTAGACAAGAAGGTGTTATGGGACCTTCCATGGAGCTGATGTGGCACGTGGGAAAAGTAGGTATCCCCGACCGTAAGCATCTGATCACGACCGCTCTCTTTCCTCCACCTCTCGCCACTTGGTCCGTCTCTCTCCACCCCCCTTCCTCCCCTCTCTTACCATCTCTCTATAGTCTATATATATATATATATAAGTATGGTATGTGTACGTATAATTTTGCCATGAAAAACTATTCTTCGGTCATACCATATTGATTCTAGAAAATTCATTTTGTTGTCCTTTCAAATTAATAAATTTTATCCAAAAATATGAATTTTGAAAGTCTTAATGGAGATGTTACTGCGTAATTTTAATCAATCATTAGTAACACATGTTTAGGACAGATTCTCGAACATTTTTAGGCACATTTAGATTATGACCACATCATTATAATATGGTATTTAGGTTCCTAATATTTTATTGAAATCGCGTAATACGCTTTTTCATAATTTTTGGAAATTTTTTTTCAAGATTTGTAAACATTCTCAAATGATTTTTACACTCCAAATAATTCACTTCAACATGTTTAAAAACTCATCTTTCAAAATAAATCTATGCCAAAATGGGAATAGAATATCCTAGATCAAAACATGTCGTTTTCGAATTACCTTGGATCATATTCTTGTAGAATAATATATAATATAGTACAAATTGTACAATAGTGCAAAGAAAAAGATTGTGTAACAACTAATAATTCACAATAAGCACGTACAAAGCACACTATCAAGTCCCAGTGTTAGTAAGCCTCTTTCATAGTTTAAACGTGCTTCAAAGGGATAATATTCTAACCAGCAAAAAAAATCAAATCGAATCAACAGCGCCCATGTTTTTTTTTTTTTATTTATTTTTTTTTTATTGAAAGATAAAACAATTCACTCACACATACTGTCTCTAATAAAGTTCGAACTCAATATCTCTCTTTGAAAAATATGAATCCTATTACGGCCATGTATTATACACGTACACATATATATGCCAACTATACCAATATGCATCACATACTATTTTTCCGGCTTCTATTTTACCAACTATTTAAACTTTCTATCCTACTTTATTTTTTCCCATTTTTTTTTTTATTAAGATAAATTTAATTTATCAACGAGTTATTAGCTCAGTTGATACAATCCCTCATACTTCAAAGAGGTTCAAACTTCAAACCCATAACGTTAATTTGTGTGCCCATTAATATATACCTAACCCAAAAGAGAAAAATAAAAAAATAAAAAGAGATTAATTTAATTTAGAAAAAAAGGGAAAATATACTACACAGGAGATAGGCAAGCCCTAAAACACCTCAAAGGGACATGAGCGTTAAAGGAGGCCGGCCCAAAGCCACTAGGATCGGAGAACCTATAGTATCAGATACATTCGCGGGAAAAAAGCAGCTCGAAAAATATTAAAGCAGCATATATATATATATATGCTATATATATATATATACACACACACACATATTAATATATGGTTATAAATATTAAACTCAATGCCGAGACATATTTGTAAAGAGAAGTTGGAGTGGATCACCCAACAGGGGTTTGCTTAAAAATGTCAATATATAATTCTTTTCAATCCTTTCCAATTTTGGCAAAACAATCTCTTATGGTGGAGATCATTTTGTAGTAGAAAAACTTTTCTATTTACATGAAATCCTAATGGCAAGACGGTTATTTTAAAAGAAAAAAGGTGTATATATATATAAAAACCTCATGTACATCTTCCAACAATTTGTTCTACGTAAAGGAACAAAGAATTCATTTCATATTTCCATGCATATACATACATGTATATATAATATAATAGCTGGGGACACACCGGAAAAAGAAAGCTACATCCGATGGTGACACTTCCACACCCGACTCCACCACCAAAGACTCAACTACTTTTTCCATTTAATCTACTTCCATGGTTTTCATATAAATCTCTCTCTCTCTCTCTCTCTCTCTCCCTATATATATATATATATATGTATGTGTGTGTATGCATGACTACCACTAATTAATCTTCTTTGATTATCTGACCAGTGCAGTTAAACAGCATATTGAAAAAGTTAAAATGGTTAAGAAATTTACCTGTTGAATCAAACCCTAAAAAATTAATAAAAACAAAAAGAGAGTACTACTAGTGCACTAGCTACTATAGCAAGAACAAAAATAAATAAACACCTCTCCTTTATCTTTCCATTGAACTCCTCCCTCCTCCTCTCTTTTCTCTCTCTCTAGATCTCTCTATCTCTCTCTCTCTCTCTCTCTGCAACTCTCTTAATTGTTTTGATTCTCTCTCTCTCTCTCCACAATATATAACCCCATCAAACTTTACAAAAGATAGAATTAAAGATCAAGCACCATGGTTTTCTCATCCGTTCCCATCTATCTAGATCCTCCCAACTGGCAACAACAGGTAAGGGTTTTCAACTTCTTTCCCTAGAAAAAAAAGCAAATTCAAAGACAAATATTCTTACCTTTTTTTTTTTTTTTCCTCTTTATTTAATCTCTTTGTTGAATATACCATATATTTGATTTTCTTGCTTTTTTCAATTTCACAGCAACAAAATCATGAACAAGGAGGTGGAAGTGATAATTCTCCTCAGTTACCACAATCTATGCCGCCTCCTCCTCCGGTTGGAGGTGGTGGCACCACCGGCTCGATCAGGCCTTCGTCGATGGCTGATCGAGCCAGGCTAGCCAAGCTGCCACAGCCTGAGGTGGCGCTGAAATGCCCGAGATGTGAATCAACAAACACAAAGTTTTGCTACTTCAATAACTACAGCCTTTCGCAGCCTCGCCACTTCTGCAAGACCTGCCGGAGGTATTGGACTAGAGGGGGTGCACTGAGAAATGTGCCGGTGGGAGGAGGTTGCCGGAGGAATAAGCGAAGCAAAGGAAGAAGATCCAAATCTCCCGTCACCACCGCGGAGGGCCGCCAAGCTGCCACTTCTAGCTCCTCCAATGCAGTTTCCTCCAGTACCTGCACCACTGATCATGTAATAGGTCATCTCCCCCCTCCACCACCACAATTACCTTTCTTGCCCTCTTTGCATCATCTTAGTAATTTTGGTGCCGGGGACATGGGGTTGAATTTCGGGGGAATTCAGCCAACGGTGGCGGCAGGAATAGGTGGCGGAGCTGAGATGGGATTCCAAATTGGTGGTGGTTCGAGTGGTGGACAGTGGAGATCACTGCAGCAATTCCCTTTCTTGGGTGGTTTGGAGCCACCGTCTGGTGGGATATACCAATTTGATCAGAGTAGTGAAGGTGTTGAGCTACAGGGTTATGCAGGTGGGCCCAGTACTGGTCATCAGCTTGGGTCTAAGCCTTTGGATTCTGGGATTAGTCATCTGGCTGAGGTGAAGATGGAAGCAAATCATCAAGGGATGAATTTGTCAAGAAATTTTTTGGGTATTCAAGGAAATGATCAGTATTGGGGTGGCAATGCATGGACTGATCTCTCTGGTTTCACTTCTTCCACAAGCCATCTCTTGTGATTCTATATAAATAGTCTCTCTTGTTCTTCAAAACCCTACTCAAACTTTCCTTTCGGTTCTTCAATCAACTTAAGGATCAAAGTTTCAATCAATGCCCTTCTTAACTTGCAAGCACCAACCACAAGAATATTATGAGAAAATTCATATGCAGCTAGCATCGATTGCTCGATGAATTCGTCTCCTGAAGATCTGCTGAGAAACCTAGGAAGTGGGTAGAGTATTTCCATTTTAATTTTTGAATTTGGTTTGTTTATGAGTTTAGTATTTGGTTGTGTTTAAAGAAGTAGGTGGTTTGTTCATGGAGTTCATTATCTGACTTGAAGGGTAAATTGTTATAACTGGTCCAAAGCAGTTCTATATGATGTGATATATTCTATGAAAATGTGTCTTGGATCAATATTTACCGGGAAAAAAAATGTGTCTTCAATATCATTTTTATTCATACAATATTACCGGCCATTACCTTCGAAAAGAGTACTTCAATATCGCGGAATCAGAAGCAAACTTGTTGAAGCCCCCTCATATCTCTCTTCAACTTGCAATTATTCATAAACTCCCTCTGATTTAGACCATAAAATCATAAATCTATTTAAGATGTTGAAGATAGGAACAAAATATCTTTTCATTTTGTTGAATTTTTTTCTCTCCTCTACTTCTTAATCAACATTCGATTATGAGAGAAAGTGTTCATAGATATGTCACTAGAAGGGCTATGTCATCCTTGAAAGCCTATTTCTGTTTGAATTAAGTATCTATTTGTACTTCAACCCACAAGGTTCGAGATCTGGTATCTTATTTGGAGAAGTAGCTTCAAGTAGCTAGCATATACTAGCCTGAATATTGACTCAATGAAATGGCCAGGTATGTGAAATTGCTGCATTTGTTTTTGAGTGATGATACAAAAATCGATCGGTTCTTGTGCTACTCCAATTAAGAGCATCCTAAGAAAAAAACCCTCTCTCATAGTAGGTGTACATCTCTATATTTGTAACAAAAACCTATCTGCATTTACATCATTTCATTTGTTTTTTAATCTTAGTTTCATATGGTCAATGGCGTGTGACAGTCACTAGAACTCTTCTTCCATGCTTGGCTAGCTAGCAAGAGTAGCTACAGAAACTAACTAGCTAGACTGTCTATATATCTTCATTAAACGCAAGACTCTCCCATCCCCTGCAACTCTCTCTCTCTCTCTCTCTGTGATGTACAAATATAAAAGACATAGTGCCCAGAAACATTATTGTCAACTTGCTTTCTTTAGATCAGCACTGAGCAATTCTTTATCTAGGATGGCCTCTTCATCGGAACAGTGGATCAATTGTGATGAAATTTCAGGGTTATATTGATTAAGGCTTAGGTCATAGACATAAAGCTTGAAAGCTGATGTGTGGCATTGATGGTACAGTGTACTCTTCCTTTAATCATCTATGTGGCAATCCCAAATTCCTAGAGACCTTCATGTCTCATGTTTTTTTGGAGTTTTTACTTGAGGTTAGTTTGTTTTTACTGAAATCTTTCAACAATGCATCTCAATTTGTGCCATTGCTTTACACTTTTTATTTTATCCAAAGGGTAGTGTGTTACAATGATTTTGGAATTATGAGAAAATAATTAAATGGGAAGTACTTATTTGTTGTGTGTGTGTGTGTGTGTGTGTGTGTAGAGAGGGTAGGGGGAAACTAAGAAACGCCAAAATTTCACTCAAAACCATGCATGGACTGAAGTAGGGTTCTAGAATCATGTTGGTGAAAAATAAGGTAAGACCCAAAACCATACACGGTCAAAAGAACAACAAGAAGAATCTCGTATTCAAATAAAAAAAATTAAAAAATTAAAAATGTTTCATTCACATTCGCACTTCCTCTCACTCGTCGTATTCACGTATATGTAATAAATATATATTTATATACACGGAAATGATTTCTTGCATTCAGGGAATAAGAAATTTAGTTACAGCAAGCATAATATTATTAGATACAATTGAATCATATTTAACCGTCATTATACATGGGGTGAATAAATTTTTTACTCTTTAGTGTTCAAGAAATCATTACCGTATATGTGCGTGAGAGAGATGATCTCATTATAATGAACTCTTTGTTTTTTCTGACCGTGTGGAATAATAAAAGATTTCAGAATTCCTTTGTGGATGAACAAGTGAAAATATATATATATATATATAAAGAAAAAAAGAAGTGCATTTCATGATAAACTTGATTTTTTAATAGGGTAAAGTACAATGACATCTGGTATAAGGACAATCAATAATAGAAGTTGGTTTATTTTTGGACAATGACACCCCCTTGTCAAAAATTGAATCCAAAAAGTTCCTTAAAAATTATAAAAAGTCAATATTGCCCTTTAATTTTTTATTAATTAAAATGACGTTTTTACCCTTATACACTCATTACACACACACATACATATGCATATGTATATAAATATATATATATATATAGGTCTGGATGGTGGATGTCGTGGCCGGCCAGATGTTTGGGCCGGTCTGAGTGTATGGTGGTTTGAGAGAAAAATTGGGTTTTTCAAATGGATTATACCTAATAATCCATTTAAATCTATTTGATCTCAAGGTATTTAAGTCAATTATATTTGTCAATTTTATATAAAAAGGAAATAAAGTCAATTCATCAATGTCAGGGTGTTTTTGTCAATTTTATCAAACTTGAGAATGTATCATTGTCCAAAAATAAGCTAACATATTGGCCAACCCTTATGCCGAACCTACTTTATCCTTTTTAATAATAGACTTACTTTTAAATGTAAAATGACATTATTATATCTCATTCCATTAATGAGAATATCAAGTATATACCAGAGACATTTACCTCAATTAGTTTGCAAAATAAAACGAAATGTATTTATCATTTTCATAGATACGAATATGATGTCAATTTATTTATTATTATTTTTTTTAACCTTGCAAATTACGCAATCTTGAACTCTCGAGGAACTATCATTAATAACTTTTGATACATGACGTCATTTTAGTTGATTGGGGTTGGGATATCTTAGAGAATGGAATCTGGTCGGATTTTGCTTTTGCGACAACCAATGCCCCGTTTAGTAAGGAATAAAGCTAACCGAGGAAGAACTGTCAAAAAAGCAACACACTCTCTCTCTCTCTCTCTAACAGTGCAACAGTGATATATGAAGATGGTTTTTTTGGTCGGTGGGTCGTATAGTATTAGCACTGTTATAGGGATCCCAAAATTGTGGATATAATGCAGGCATGGAGAATGAAAAAGTTAAAAAGATAGAGATAAATGGAAGGAGAAGAGCTCTGGAAATTATTTTTCTATTTTTTAAATGAAGGTCAGAGATTTAACCCAGTGAAAGCAGAATACATGAACGATTTCCAAAGTAATATTATCTAAGAAGCACCATTGGCAGATGTTCTTGTCAAATATATATATATATATATATATATATATTCAATGTGGAGAAGCATATCTAATCATTATTACAATTTTTTTTTTCGATAATTAATCATTATTATAATTTCCAAATTTTAAGAGCTTTGAAAAGTAAATCATGAATGTTTGTATACATAATTAAAGAATAAAATTGATTTTATCGGCACATAAATGTTTGTAGTGCTCTGGAAAATGAGAGAACTAGAAACTTCTTTCAAGCACACACTCGGTCAACCATGTGGTGAAGGGTATGGTTTGTCTTTCATATAAATTTTTGTGGGTATATCGCGTATATTTTAAGCATGGGTTCATTGGCTTTTACTAATTATTTAGCCAAAACCCTTTTTGAATCATAGCCCCAGTTCTAAGCCACCTAGGGCACATTATAAGGTCTGTGATTGTCCTTGACATGTACATGTGAGGTCTTTTAAAATTTAATGTTCAAACATTGGTTTATTTTATTTTATTTTATTTTATTTTTTTAATTTAATTCGACATGGATGTAATTAGTTACAAGTGTTAGAAGATATGAATATTATCGAATACAGTGCAAAAAATAAAAAAAAATAATAATCCAAGTACAAATTAACTACCCCCTCACAAAGACTATTTGTCCTTGTCTTCTATAAAATTATTGGGTTAAGTATAATGACGGTATGTTATATGGACAGTCATTTATAAGTTGACTATTTTTGGGACAATGGCTCTTAAAATTATCATCCAAATAAGACCTTAAATGATTCAAAAAGATGAAATTGCCCCTTAATATTAAAATTAGTTTTATTGTAAAAAATCATACATGTTGAAATGTCAAAATTACCTGATTTAATATTAGCCACAAAATGACGCCAAACTATTGTGATGGAATTCATTAATTTGTCCAAGGTATTGTGATATTCTGATTGTATGAATTTTTTTTTTTACCAAAGGTTCCTTTGCATTTCTAGTTACTGTCTAAAATATTTCGTAATTTTTTACCAAACATATTTTATAAAAATTCGACAACAACTGCTGTCTGGAATTTTCCACTTTTTGAAATCATGTTTTTAAATTATTTATTTGACAGCCTTCTGGACATCGGATCATCACCAAAATTTTCATTTTTATACTTTCGTGAGTCTATTTCTCAAAACATTTTCGTTTTCTCCGTTTCGGTCTCAAACGAATTTTCTATGAATTTTTTATTCACAGTTGTGCAGATTTTTCCCCTAATTCAGCACCTCAACTTTTTTCATCAAATGTTAATTAATGAGGGATATATTGGTCCAGTTCATTAAGTTGTAAAGTTAAAAAGGTCCACCAAACGGTTAAAAGACAAGTTGGTGGAATCCCCATGTGTCATATGTAGTAGGTGGCTATAAGGTGTTTTTATCAACTTTTTCAAACTTTAAGAAATGTCATTGTTCAAAATACAGTCAGCTTGTATATGATTATAAGGTTGTTTTTATCAACTTTTTCAAACTTTAAGGAATGTCATTGTCCAAAAAACAGTCAGCTTATATATGACGGTCAATATGACAAATCTTAAGGGAATGTCATTGTACTTTATAATTAACCCAAAATTATTTTACCCTTCTCTCATTAAATTTGTCATTTATTATTAAATTATTTTTATTATCTTTTCACTTATCTAAATATTACTATATTATTTTGCCTTGCTTTTATTATTAGTATCGATTTATCATAAGAATGGAACAAAAATAGAGTTATAATTACCATTTTTTTAAATGGTTAACTTATTATTAAAACTTTACTATTTTTAATAAAACTTATTATACTTGATTTAAACTTTTTTATCATAATAAAATACCTCTTTTTAATACAATATATTCATGAAAATTGAATAAATTAGTTAAATAGAAAATACTTTCATTTTCATGCAATATATTCATAGGAAAAAAAAACTTAAATTATTTTTAAAAATTTTATTTAAGATTTTTGTTTAAATAATTAATTTCAAGAATTAAGGTAAATTTATGCAAATTTAATGAAGAATATGTCATCAAATTAATATAAATATTTTTCATAATTTATTTTAATAAGTAAATAGATTAAGCATAATTCAAAACAAAAGTGCATC